TCATAATAATACAATTATAAAGATATTAATATCCGAGATATTTTTATTAATTTGATGAAGAAAATTCTATTTTATTTGTTTTATTTTATTTATAAAGAATTTCTCTCTAAATTATTAAATTAATTTATATTTCTATTTTGTTTCATATTTTATTTTTTTGTACTTAATAGTACAACGAAGATTTAAATGATTTTTCATAAAATATCTGAGAAAAATATGTAACAAGTAAACACGTTAAAATATATAAATAAAATTAAAGTATGTTATGTAGGAGTATGTATCTTAATGTTCCCAATAAAGACAGTAATCTCCTATCAAATAAAATTTGTAGAGATAATATCTATTTTTAAGGACATCTTGCGTTTGAGATTCGGTTATCAGTTTCCGCAGAAACTTTCAAAAATTGCCGTAGCCGATGGTATTTCACATCGTCATGGCGGGGTATTGGTAAAAGTTTTCAACTAGCAATAATCGCACCTCGGTAGAACCTCATTGGTTACGATATCGCCACTGCGCAAAGCTGACGAGTCTACCTCCCGGCCTCGTATTCATAGTAGTGGTGAAGCAATTTTAATGACGAGAAAGTCGATAGAATGCGCTCCACGTAGTGTACGTTTTCGGAACTAAGAGGCCAGCTGCCGAAATAATGTACCGAGATGATCTAGCACACTGCGCAGTGGACTCGCCCGTTCATAGCGTCCATTCCATGTGTATAAAATTTGCCACTGTTAACAGATAAGGTAGCTGGGTATTTGCAAGAAAATATATCTGAACAGGATCGCATGACGGCAGGAGGTATCGCGAGCTCGAGAACGTGCATGTTTCGTTATCTCTATCTTTCATTATGCTCTACTCACTTTCTCTTTCTCTCCTCCGTGTTATTGTGATATAATTTTTCAATTGTCTCTTCTGCAGATTTATATTTAAGAAGATTTTTAAGGACATAAAACACATATATATTAATATTTAGGCTTTAAACAAATTACATATATGTAAAAGTTTATAACATTCTGTTTTTATTGCAACAATTTTTATAGATTATTTATTTTGTATTAGTTTTATTGTTATAAACAAAAATTTTGAAAATAATAAAAATCTAAATTGTTTTATATAAATATTTCAAGTACTATAAAAATGACTTGTGTAAAGTTTTGTTGAGAATCATTAATTAGTTTATAACAAATAAATATTTTGTTTATTTACTGAACAATTAATGTCTTAATGTAACTTTACATAAATATTTTTGAATTCATAAAGTACTTATAAAAAAATTGAGATTTTTATCATTACTTTGTAATGCATTTTCATATATTTCTATTAGAATTTAAAAAATATTACTTTTTATTGAAGTAACTTTTGATCCAGATAATCAACTGTCTCTCATTTTTTTGTATTACTTTTAAATGCAATTTAGAATAATAATCTATAATTTTTTAAAATAATTCTTAATATATTGCTTTATAATCTCCTTAATATTTTATAGAATAAAATATTGAGATAAATAAAAGTTCTTAGAGTAACAATAATAATAAAATTATGTCTTTTAATTCT